GGGGGGGGGGAGGCTTGTGAGAATTTTCTGCCTGGGCTGCCAAAATACTTGCTCCCTCTCTGGATCTCAGCCACGTTGACCTGGTGTGTGTCTTGGATCCCATTTCTTTGGGAGTGCAAGGGTTTGGGTGGTTTTGAGTTTTGCACGTTTCTCCCTTGCACGTGTATCCCTTGCACGTTGCACATTATCACTAGCACGTTTTCTGAACAGCCTGTTCTCTGGACTGGATAGTCTTTATGTGTCCGTTACCCGGATGAACATTTGCACGCATGGGCCACATCTGTCTTCGAATGAATGGGCAGCACATTGCTGTCCCTTAAGGGAGGACTGACCTGCGCAAAATCTGAACACGAAGCTCGCCACGGTGTTACATGTAATCTGTGTCTAGTATTTGCAGCTGGACTGCACTGCTTTTGCAGGCGGCTGTTTGACGGGGTCTCACACTCTCACTAAACCATGTTTTGTGGTTTGTTTCCTTAGTTTGAGGTGTGAATGCTCCATTAGGGTTTAGTGTTACATGCAGATCAGTCCATTGAGACTGTTCAGTCCAAGAATCCTTACCTGCTGTTATGGGCAATTATAACTTAGGTCAGGAATGACTTTCCCACCACCGTGGTTTGTGAGCACAGTTGGGAAATTCAGGAGGTCAAGAAGTGAAGCGACCTTGTGTCTGCTGGGAGCATTGCTGTATGAATGAGACGGTTGGTTCCCTTAGCATATACTCTGTACTTTTTATCTCCTTGCCAGCCTTTTAACAAACATTGCATTTGTGAAAAGGTGCCCCGAAAAACAGAGCTTTGGTTCCAATGCCTTTTCTCTCTTATTTTCTGTCCAGTATTTTTCCTTCTCAGTGGAGAGCCCTTGTGCCATTTTCAAGAAGGTGGAAAGTGTTTACACTTCGATGGGTGATTAAGTTCCATTGAATGAGTCAGGTCTGTTGTGTCCTTCAAGGAGTGCTGCTAATAAAGACAACGGAAGAGCAGGCCAGTTCCTGCGGGAGGAAACGTCTACAGTGCAAGAGGCAGAGGCTGCTGAGTCTCTGCTACATCAGAATATGGATCCTGAAATAAAAATGGAAGAGCAGGACTCCATTGACCCCAAGCCAGGAGAGGGAAGAGCACATTTTCTAAACACTGGGAAGGGCAAGGAAGAACCAAGGCATAAGGTGAAACAAGAGCCAGAGGAAAGTCCATCAAAGAATTGGGATGCCCAGTTGCAAGAGTTTCTGAAGACACTGCAGGATCCTCATGGAAGAAAAGAAGTTCCACAGTTCCTTGAGCCAAAGCTGCGGGGTGGTCCTAAATGGTCTTGGATGTCCTTCCAAGGAGGGATGGATACCAGCAAGTGGTCTAAAGAAATGTGGATTTCCCAAATCCAGACTCATCTCCTTGGAACGACCCAACAGGATTGGGAGACCCTTCGGGAGGCTGCCCATGACGGGAAGGAGAAGGTTGGAGATCTAGCTGAAGAAGCCATCAGGGTGGAGACAAGATGCCATCACTTTCGAACCCTGGGCTACCAAGGGGCCAAGGGACCTCACGATTTTTGCCAGCAGCTCCAAGGCCTTTGCCACCAGTGGCTGAAGCCAGAGAAACACACCAAGGAGCAGATCCTGGACTTAGTGACCTTGGAGCAGTTTCTGGCTGCCTTGCCTCTGGATATGCAGAGCTGGCTCAGGAGAAAGGGCCCAGAAACATGTGCCCAGGCAGTATCCTTGGCAGAGGAGTTCCTCCTGAAGAGGCAAGAGACCCAGGGATGGGAACAGGAGGTGAGCGTGTTTGCAACTGGGAACATTGCTGTTCTGGTGTTCATAACCACACAGCATAAATTAAGTACTCCCCAGTCTTGATAAAGAATACATGCCAGCTCACCAGCTACTTTTATCTGTCAGGATACAGTTCCTCTGATGAGGACAAGGGATTAAGGGACAACAGATCAAGGATGGCAGGGGAAGGTGTTTGCACTGGGAGAGCCAGTTTGGTGCAGGGGTTAAAGGCACCAGGCTAGAGACTGGGAGGCTGGGAGATCTAGTCCTGCCTTAAGCATGAAGCTGGCTGGGTGACTTTGGGCCAGTCCCTCTCGCTCAGCCCTAAAAAGAAGGCAATAGCAAACCAGTTTAAAAAATGCTGCCAAGAAAACTCTGTGGCCTTGACCCTGTAGTTGCCAGGAGTCAAGACTGACTAAGCACACCCAAACAAAATAAGTTTGCACTGGATCAAGGAGAGAATCCCATGGACCATTTGCTGGTAATGTGTTTGTGGGTATTCGGGCACCTGGGATACTTCTAAAAGGCATCCTTGGAAACCTCAAATGAAGTAAAAATTCTATATATGAAATCGCACAGGATCCGATCTCATCAGAGTTCAGTGTTCTCGTATGAGATATGCAAGAATACATATCATTCCTTCGTGAGTGAGGTAACACGCACATAAATAAAAATGATATGTTGAAGATAGTATCTGTCCTGTTGAATAGATGACATGACGTGGGAGCTGGCTTTTTAAATACTAAAATGATTATTTTTAGGGGTCACATAAGAAATCACAGCATGGTGCCTGGAAAGGTTACCAAACTTTGCTGCGCAGGAGAGCTGAAAATAAATGTTTGAAATAAATGAAAATAATCACATGGCTGATTCTCAGTAGCCTGAGGATGCTCTGGGGGCAACCAAAAACTAGCTAGCTAGCTAGCCAGCCAGCCACTTGCTATTTGCTACTATTTACTTGCTACATTGCCAGAATCCAAAGACTCCTGTGGTCTAGCACAATAAAAGCATAAAACAGTAAAGGCAATAAAAATTCTAGAACTTTTATTGCCTTTACTGTTTCATGCTTTTAAAATTCTAGAATTTTTATTGCCTTTACTGTTTTATGCTTTTATTGTGCTAGACC